CTGATGATTAATGATGTTGAGCGTGTTTTCATGTGCCTGTTGGCCATCTATGTGTCTTCTTGGGAGAAAGGTCTATTCAGATCCTCTGATTATTTTTTAGTCATTTTGTTGTTGTTATTGTTATTGAGTTATATGAATTCTTTATATATTTTGGATATTAGCCCTGATTGTGTATATGATTTGCAAATTTCTTCTTCTGTTAGGTAAGTTGCCTTTTTATTTTGGTGATGGTGTCCTTCATGGTGCAGCTTTTTATTTTGATGTGGTCCCAATTGTTTATTTTTGCTTTTGTTGCCGTTGCCTTTGAAGTCAGATTCAAAAATATATCGCCAAAAATGATGTCATGAGCTTACTGCCTATGTTTTCTTCTAAGAGTTCTATGGTTTCAGGTCTTACACTAGATTCTTCAATCTATTTTGAGTTAATTTTTGTGTATGGTATAAATACTGGTCCCATTTCATTCTTTATGTGTGGCTGTCAGTTTCCCATCACGATTTGTTGTACAGACTATCTTTCTCCATTGTATATTCTTGTCCCATTTGTCATAAATTAATTGAGTATATGCATTGGCTTACTTCTGGGCTCTTTATTCTGTTCCATTGATTTATGTGTCTCAGAGAGAGACACAGCGAGAGAGGGAACACAAGCAGGGAGAGTGGGGGAGGGAGAAGCAGGCTGTTTTTATGCCAATACTGGGCTGTTCGATTACTGTAGCTTTATAATAAAGTTTGAAAACAAGGAGCATGTTGCCTCTAGCTTTGTCCTTCTTTTTCAAGATTGTTTTGGTTATTTGGGATCCTTTGTGGTTCCATACACATTTTATTATTATTTGTTCAATTTCTATGAAAAAATGCCATTGGAATTTTGAGAGAGACTACATCGAATCTATAGATTTCTTCGGGTTACACGAACATTTTAACAATATTAATTCTTCCAATCCATGAGCATGGAATATCTTTCCATTTATTTGTGTTTTCTTCAGTTTCTTTCATCAGTTTCTCATAGTTTTCAGTGTACAGGTCTTTCACCTCCTTGGTTAAATTTATTCCTAGGTCATATTATATTCTTTTTGATGCAGTTGTAAATGGGATAGTTTTCTTAATTTCTCTTTTTGATAGTTTGTTGTAAGTGGATAAAACAACAGATTTTTGTATATTAATTTTGTATGTTGCAACTTTGCTGAATTTTATTATTAGCTCTAAGACTTTTGGTTCAGTCTTTAGGGTTTTCTATATATAAAATCATCTCACCCACAAAAAGTGACAGTTTTACTTCTTTCTTTCTGATTTGGATGTCTTTTATTTCTTTGTCTTGCCTAATTGCTCTGGCTAGGATTTTCAATACTATGTTGAATAAAAATGGTAGGCGTTGGCATCCTTGTCCTGTTCCTGATCTTAGAAGAAAAACTAAAATCTTTTCACTATTGAGTATGATGTCAGCTATGGGCTTGTTATATATGGCCTTTATTATGTTGAGTTATATTTCCTCTATACATGTTTTGTTGAGAGTTTTTATCAAACATGAATATTGAATTTTTCTCAAATGCTGTTTCTGCATCTATTGAGATGATCATATATGATTTTTATCCTTCATTTTGTTAATGTGGTGTAGCATGTTGGTTGATTTGTAGATGTCAAACCATCCTTGCATCCCTGGATAAATCCCACTTGATCATGATGTATGATCTTGTTAATATATTGTTGAATTTGATTTGCTAATATTGTGTTGAGAATTTTTGCATCTGTGTTCATCAGGGATATTGGTCTATCATCGTATGTGTGTGTGTGTGTGGTGGGGGGGCAGGTGTCCTTCTCCAGTTTTGGTAGCAGAGTAATGCTGGCCTTATCAAATGAGTTTAGAAAGATTCCCTCCTCTTTGATTTTTTTGGAGAGTTTGAGAAGGATATGTATTAAATCTTTGAATGTTTGGTAGAATTCACCAGTGAGGCCATCTGGTCCTGGATTTTTGTTTGAGGGGAGGTTTTTGATTTAATCTCCTTGCTGGCAATTGTTCTATTCAGATTTTCTATTTCTTTATGATTCCGTCTTAGAAGATTGTATGTTTCTAGGACTATGCCCATTTCTTCTAGGTTATCCAATTTGTTGGCATATAATTTTTCATAGTAGTCTCTTATGATCCTTTGTATTTTGAGGGGATTAGTTGTAACTTCTTTTTCATTTCTGATTTCATTTATGAGCCCCCCTTTTTTTTCTTAGTTAATCTAGCTGAGGTTTATCAGTTTTGTTGATAACCAGCTCTTAGTTTCACTGATCTTTTCTGTTGTCTTTTTAATCTTTATTTATTTCTGCTCTAGTCTTTGTTATTTCCTTCATTCTACTAACTTTGGGCATCATCTGTTCCCCTTTTTCTTATTCCTTTAGGTGTAAAGTTAGATAGTATTTGAGAATTTTCATGTTTCTTGAGGTAGCCTGAACTTCCCTTTTAGAACTACTGTGCTGCAACCCATAGATTTTGGTATGTTGAATTTTTATTTTCATTTGTCTCAAGGTATTTTTTAATTGTTTATATGACCCCTATAATGCAGATCTTGTTCTGCTTAATGTTTTTCCATAGGCCCTTTGAGCTGTCTTCACTTTTTGAACCTTTTTGTTCTTTTTGTGCTGTGTTTGGGTGAGTTCCACTTTTGTCTTCCAGGTCACTGATCTTCTCTTCTGCATCAACTAGTCTGCTGTTGAACTCCTCTAGTATATTTTTCAGTTCAGTTATTGTATTCTTCAAGTCTGTGACTTCTGCTTGGTACTCTCTTATATTTTCTTATCTCCATGTTGAATTTCTTGTTCCTTTCATCCATTCTTCTTCTGAGATCGGTGAGTATCTTTATGACCATTACTTTGAAGTCTTTATCAAAGAAATTACTTATCTCCATTTCATTAACTTTTTTCCTAGGGTTTTATCTTGTTCTTTCATTTGGAACTTATTCTTCTGTTTTCTCACTTTGCTTGGCTCTCTCTGTTTCTGTGTATTAGGCAAAACAGCTATCTCTCTCTGTCTTGAAGAAGTAGTCACAGAAAGATGGCAGGTATTTCAGTGCCTTGGGGTTAGAGCCTTCCCAGAACTGTCTTTGATTGTTTCAGTTCCATGGAGCCCAGAAACACAAGCTCCCATGGCCACCAGAGCCAGGTGTTCAAGTGACATACCCTGAAAGGACTACATGCACCTGTTGCTTTTAATGGGTTTAGCAGGTCAGGGCTGTGGGGAAGCACCAGGCTGGAGCATGCCCACCTGCTGGGTTTAGCATGTCAGGGTTGAGGGTCAGTGCAGTCAGTGAAGACAAGATAGAGAGAGAGTGCAAAAATTACACACACCAGCACCTTTGTTCCTAGAGAGAGTTCCGATAGGCCTCTGACCCTCCAGAGATGCTTTTAAGGGTGGGCAGTGAATCTTCTTCATACATTGTTAACCATTTTCAACCTGCTGCTTTTGTGCTGGGTCCCAGGGCAAATGAACCTGTGCAAACCCTTTAGGTTAGAAGTCTCAGTTTCCTATGGCCCCTTGGGTCTCCTGGATATAAGACTTTTTGGTTTTCAAACCAGACTTTTGGGGGCTTGTATCTCTGGTGCAAGTCCTAAGGGTTGAGGTCCCTGATGTGAAGCTTGTGCCCCTTGCTTCTCAAGGATATGCTTTTAATTTGTGAGATCCCTCTTGCTTGTGGGTCTCCACACTGAGGGCAGGGTTTTTGGCAAGACCATATCTCTGCATCTCCTACCCATCTCAGTGTGTTCTTTTTATCCTTTGTTGTGGAGGAGCTGTTCAGCTGGTTTTCACATTTTTTTCAGAGAGAATTTTCTATATGTAGCTATAGATTTGGGGTGTCCATGGGAGGAGGTAAGTTCAGGGTCTTCCTATGCTGCCATCTTGAACTGCCCGAATAAGTTTGTTTTTTGTTTTTGTTTTTGTTTTTGTTTTATAACTGCCCTATTTACATTTTTCAGATCCATTTAACTTGAGTATTTAGTCATTTAGAGTAATAACTCATCAATCTGTTAGTGCAACCTTTCTTTATGTTACTTTTCTTAGTGCTATGAAATGTGCTATTTTGAATCTCTGAAATGTTGTAAACCACCAGATTGCTAATTGCTTTGGATGCTGTGAAAAATAATTACTCTACATTATTTTTGATATTTAATTGACAGTGTAATGCATTTAACTAAAGACCTGCAATAAACTATTTCTAATTACTGAGTGTGGTGGAGTGGAAAAGTAGGCTATAAAACTTTACAAGGGAAACAATGTTTTCTCCATCACATTAAAAAGTCATTGTTCATGATACTTCTTCAGAGATGAAGAACAGAAACAAAAACTTCCCCAAATGGAATATTCTGGAAAGCTAGAAAGTTGTAGAATACTTTTACTCAGGATACAGTGGAGAAAATTTTTAAGTTATTATTTTTTAATAGACTATACTGGTGATGGGGTGATGGATGTCATGTACTAGCTTACCATGCTTGCACTAAAATTTCTCCTTCTTCAGTTGGCATAACTTTATGAGGGAGATAATCATGCCACTGACAGAATGAGTAGTCTTTATCACTGACTGGTGTTCAATTTATTTTGCATCTGTAGGGCATTCAGCTGAAAAGCTCTGCCTAATTTTAGATGTCATTGAAATATGTATATATATCAGGAACTGGAATTGTTTTTAGCTCCCAAGGTAAGAGCTCATGTTATAAACTGATTCTTGAAAATAATACTTAGAACCTGATGCAAGGAATTCCCACAGTCTAGAAGCATCACAAATTGGAATATAAAATATGTTAGGCTCTTTGAATCGATATGTACTGTTTTCATTGCCTTGTGTCTTTGGGATATTATTAATAATCAGCGTATTCTTCTCCCCCCGCCCCCATAACTTCTGACTAAAATAAAATGTCTCCATTAGTACGTCATTACATTGCTTATTTAATTTCAATTACGTGCATTTTCCGAAAACAGACAACTAAAATAAGTGACCTGTTTCAGGGAATGTAAATTATTTTCAGAATTTCAGAAATTGAAAAGGGATAAGAGGAAGGAGAAAATGCTGGGCTGGTGTGAAGCGATAGCCCGTAACCCTCACAGAATCCCAAACAACACGCGAACACCTGAGATCTCAGGGGATTTGGCTGATGCCTCACAAACGTCCACATTGGTGAGTGAAAAGTTATTTTTCCTCAAAATGGCTTGTATGTAAATGGAATGCTAAGGAAATGTGGAAAGGGATAACTTTTTAAGTAAACATTATTCTTGTTTACAATAATATTTGCATTATATTGTTCATATAGATTCAGTATAATTTATATTAATATCTAATATCATATACTATTAGCTTAATTCAGATAAAACAACAATTTCTTTTTCTTTGTATTTCTTTGAACCTCGCCACACCATTATGTTAGCAACCTTAAAGAGTTAACTTAAAGTTCATATCTTGCAACCTACGTTTGTGTAATGGAATCAGTGGAGGAAAACGAGTTATCCAAAAATAATGAAAAATCAGAATCAAGCCTTCTGTGTTTTCCTATATATATTCTAAAAATCTCTGAAAAGAGGATTAAAATTATAAATTTTATACAAAATTGTGAATTAAATAATGACAAATATAATTTGAAGACTGAATCAGTAATATACTCTTTCATGTTTTGTTTTCTGCTTTAAGTTCAAATACCCAGCTGTAGCTAGCCATTGTTTCCCAGTGATTAGGAAGAGAGAACTCATTAGCAAAAGGGGTTTTATGCATTCTTTGTTTAGATTTGGCTGCAACATTCTTCATTTTGATTTAAAGAAGAAAAATTTAATTTAGTCTCTAAGTTTTAAATTGACATGTTAGATATATTTTAATTATTGTTTTGCCATTTTATATGAACACAGGTTGTTTTCATTAGCCTGATTTATTAGTTGATAAACATATAATTAAATATGAGCCAAGTTTTTAGATTTATTTTTTACTCTAGAGTTATTTGCTAAGTTCCACTATTTTAAATAGAAATAATGATCCTGAGTAAACATTATTGAGTGAATATCAAGAGAAACCACCTGAAGGAGTGGGCATTCAGTTGGCAAAACATAGAAGTGGGAATCCTGCTTAAATTCCATCATCTTAGATTGTGAAGAGAGGGCTGAGGGTATGAAGAAATGTGCATAATGTAATGACATAGTCAAAGTTCTGGGGAATAAATTTTTTGAAATTATCATCTGCACTGTTTCATCTCACTCTAACATGATCTTTTGTAAATTATTATTTTCAATAAAACTGCTTGCCATGAGTTAACATCATTTAAAAATGTATTACATAATATTTATATATAAAGCTGGACTTTGTCAGGTATCATGCAAAGGCTAAAAATATTAAAATTTAAAAAATTACTTCTGTGCTTTTATTAGAATGGTTTTAGTGATTAATTTCTATTTCATAGAACCATAGATCAAAACCATAAAAATTCTTGAGTAAACATTTGGCCTGGCTTTCTCCTATAATTGGGTAACCTAATATTAGCTTAATTTTCCAGATGTGGACTGTGGCCCAGAGAAATTAATTGACTTTCCCAGTGTCACTTAGCTAGTAAACGATAAAAGGATTGCTAGAAGCCAGGATTCTCAAGGCGAGGCTTTATTCTACTATACCATGCTGCCTCACTTTCTTGATGACATTTTCTTCCCATCCAGATACTTTTAGTAAAAGGAAAATTCATCAAGTTACCAATTTAATAAATCCAGTAATTCATATTTTAAAATCTAATGCCGTATTAGGTGGATAGATTCTAGCCACTGAAACAATTTCAACATCTCTTTCTCAACATAGAAAAGTAAAATGTCTTTCTTATGTCATAGCCTATGTGTCTTAGTTTGCCTCCTTCACTGTCAAATGATGATTCAAAGATACATACTCCTTTCATCTTTTAATGCTGCCTTCTTAAGGACATGGCTTCTTAGGTTCCTGAGAGAAAGGAAGAGACTATGGGAGCCATTGTGCATGTGTTATTATGGAACAGCCTTGAATGTTTGCATATCCTTCCATTGACCAAACCTAGTCTCGTGGCCCCATCTGAATTGCAAGGGAGGCTGGTAAATGTTAGGAAGCTATATGACCAAGAAGAGCAGATGGAATTAGGGAGCACCCAATACATCTCTGCCATAGACCTCCCTTCTGGCTGCCAAATATTCAAGTCATGTTTCCACTCCCTCATGAAAAAAGATTATTACTTTCCAAGAGAAATAACAAAAGTATTTCAGTCACTGGATTCAGTTCAAGTCCATGAGCACCAGTTATTTACTGTCCTCATCAAATGATGATGATGGTGAACCACCTATGAATAAATTATCTGTATTTTGCAGCCAGCTCCCACATCCATATATACCCAATATATAGGAGAAGAGTAGGATGAGGGAAACCACAATAATACTCATGCTTGGAAAAAAGAAAGATTCGGATATACATGGAAATCAGAAGTGAAATCCTGCTAGACAGACATTATAAAGTCTCTCTAACCTAGCGGTCAGGGAGGATCCTTGAATAGGCTTTGACCCTGCTCCCTGGGAGATCTTTGTTTATGGTTCTCTCTGGCCTCTGGATGTCTCTCTGCGAAGTTCTTCATTTTCTTTTATTCTCCTTGTCAACATTTAAAGTGCCTATTGAGGGTTATAGAGCCTTAAAATATTTTTTTTTCCTATTTTGGGAAAATTATGGGACCAAGAGTTGTTTTAAGTCCTACATATTTCAAGGTTTGTATTTCTGAGATCAGGGTCTTTTAGTACTACAATTTTCAGAAATCTTTCTTTGTAGGATTCTGATCAATTTGCTTCCTCATAGTCCATGTGCCTAAGAAAGTTCTTTCTTGGATGCCCTTGACTTTCTCTTCTTTCATGCCTCTTTCTCAAGATGATATTATCTTGAAAAGTAGGCTAGAGGATCACAACCTTAACCTGATCTTTGTATAGAGATACTTTGTTCAACTGAGAAGTTTTACTCAGTGTCAGCTCTAAATCTCATATTTGCCTTGAGTCACTTTATACAAATGTGCATTTTTACTGCATCTTTATTACTCAACACTTGCATTAATGTCATATCCCATCATTTAGGGTTTAGAAGAAGCCAGACATTTTGTCCAACAAGGCCCCAAACTTCTATAGTCTCTCTATGCCCAGTCAAATCTGCTTTTATACTAGTTCCTGAGCTTCTTTTAACACTTTGCCGAATGTAGCCAATAACTGTTAACATATATTATTAAGTTTTGTTTTTCAATCTATTTTGAGTGTTTCCAGCCCAGCAGGCTCACTGTCTGCCTCTCAAGTTAATTCAAATAGCACTTTTGCCAAGAGTTTTGCCAAAACATCAAATAGATGGCTTTCTACTTTTGAAATTGGTTTTCTTGCCACCCACTGCCCAGCCACTAAGCAAATGCCACATACTTTATTAGATTTTTATTATGGTAACAGGCTTTGGCTACCAATTTCTGTATTTGGGTAGTTATAAAAGTTGGGGTACAGGAAGGAAAACGGGAAATAGTAATTCTAACAAAGAGTGTAATATGAATATTTATTTAATCGGCTCTTGGAGGGCTGAAAAAGTAAAAAAAAAAATGTATATATGTTTAGTAACTGCAAAAAGTAACAACCATCCAGAGAGATAACACTGAGAGGAGGAAGGAGTTATTTGAACCTAAAAGGCTGAAGGAGAGGCCCCTCAGGATTACACCTCAGACTTTGAGAAGGGATGCTTCTCAGATGATGTAGGAGATCCTGAGGATCTTGGACATGAACCCTGAAGGAGAGGCTCTTCTCAATCCTTGCATGTTCAAGTGGGAAGAAGGGGGGATAGTGCAATAACAATAGTTATGGGAGTGTGGAAAAAAACTTAGAAACTGGACCCATCTTCCACTGCTGACTTACAAAATCATTGCTGGGATGACACTAGCAGAAACAGGGTAAGCAAGAAGAAGCAAATCCATTTTCTCCCCCTGTCTTCTAGTTTCCATTAGCACTAGTATTGGCAGAAGCTGACCAAGAGGTAAATGTCAAAGGAGAAATCTGGTTTGAAGGCCCCTAGCTCCAACATCTTGAAGTGGAAGATGGAAGAACTGCTTTAGCGCTGAGTAGTATTAGCTTAGTAATCAGTATAAAAAATTGAGAATAGGAGCTTTAACAAATCAACTCAGAAATTTCAAAGGCTTACCATGATTGAGCTTTACTTTTGCTTGTGACCCACTCTGATAAAGGTCATTTGACTCTCCAACAATGAATGCCGGGATCCCTACTCCTTCCATCTCTTGGGACTACTATCTTAAACAAAGGACATCTGAGTTTATCAGATAAAATAAGGGAAAGAATGAGTGGGTGGCCATGGAGATATCTGGTTAAGTTTGGAAGTGATGCATATCACTTGATGCCCTTGGCTGGAAATCAATGACATGCCCCAGTGTATCTGTCAGAATGATGGGAAATATGGTATTCTTATATGACTAGAATAAGGAAATTGAGAGCACTCAGCCAGCCTTTACCACAAATGCATTCCTTTGAGAGGTAGAAGTTTTGTCTTACATTTCCATTTTGCATATCCATATTTTATTGTTACTCCTCTGCTGTCATCCAGAGCATTTGAGGCTTTCCTGTACAAATCATACCCCATCTAAAGATGGCGGTGGTAATGATGATGAAGAGGAAAAGGGAGATGGCTGATTATTAAGTGCCAGGAGTTTTCTAAGTATTTAACACATACTCTCATTTTTAATATTCACAAGAATCTGATGAGGTAGGTATAACCATTATCCATTTTGGAAAGGAAACTGGTTAAGTTGTATACAGAAACTGAGGCATAGAGAAATTTAAAAACCTGCCCAAAGTGACCCAGGTAATATTGGTGAGGCTGGGATTCCAGCAGTCCAAACAGTCTAAATCTGGAGGGCCACTCTGTCATGTCTCCTCAGGTTGGGGGGAAACAGTCATTATTTGAATTGTATGCATTTAGCTAAACACAAAGATTATGAATGAGGTAATAATACATGATAGTGTGGCATAAAGACAAATAGGGCCTTTTCTTTATAATCTCATGGTTATATATGACTGTTAGATTATTATCTGCTCTGCACTGACTGACATAGAAGTACGGCCAATTTTATAACCATTTTCACCACTGTGTCATCAATAACTGACCTA